AGGAGCATCTGGTGGAGTCAAACCACACGCCTTCAGGATCGCAGCACAGCATCAGAGCTATGTGGATACTTTAGGTCTCAATTTTTCCATGTCCTTGGATGTTTAGGACTAATCATATACATTGCAGATGCTAGAATGTTCTGTGAATAGATCCTCACTGCACACCCATCCTTCCATTCATTCATACATTCACTTATGGAGTACCCACTGTAAGCTACATACTATGTGGCATAACCAACCCCCATTGCACCAAAATTTGTACTTGAAATCCCATTTTGTGCCTTTCTAAGTTTGGCTTCTTTGCATCAGTACTGTATTTGCAGGTAATGCAGACCCTCTATTTTAAGAAATGAGTTCTAGTCCCAAATCCACAAATAAAGAATTATTATAATAATAGCATATTCATGAAAAGCAAATTACTTATCTTGGCGTTTAACATCCTTGTAACTATTCCTGTACTTTTAATGTCAACAGGGAAAAAAAGTAATGTCTGAGTCTGGCTGATACCATAAATTAATGTTAATAACAGTTTTGACACTAATAGCAAGTTTTAAAAGGAGAAAAAAACCCTCTAGTCTCTAAGCTAGATTTTCATTTCTTAAGATTCACCTCAGTTCACTGTCAGTGAGACTCCCCTAGAACAATTACAGCTACTATTTCACCTTCACTGGGAGCCTGAAACGACTAGAATCTGGAAAGGTTCCATGAAATTGTATCTCTTCTCTGCCTTTGCTCACTTTTGTTGAGGAAAACACCCATGCCCTTGAGTTATAGCAACAGGATGTTTCTCAGCAGACACTGTGCTGGACCCCTGTAAACAAATGAACACTTATACAGATTCATTTAAAACCACTGACTATTTCTTCAGACCCTGAAAATTCTCTGTGAGAAGGAGGGTGGCCAAATAAAATACATATAAGATAAGGGGAAATTTTAAATCTTAAACTATCAAAACCATGGAATCCCAGAGAATAGTTAGTAAGCTCGCTATTTTTTTTTCATGCTCTTCCCTAGGTACTTCAAAAATGCTCCACGAATTAAATTGACCTGAGCTGAAATTTTAATAAGCCCAGACAAAAAATAAGAACTTAGCTCTTGAAAGAAAAACTGTCTGTAGAGCTGGCACCCTGAATTCTGACTTCAAGACTCAACTATGAGAAAACTGTTTATCCCACATAATGCTCTACGTGAAATATTAGAAATATCCTTGTAAGGCCATGAGGAAACTGGATTGAGGGTAGAGGAAGTGAATATATGTATGCATGAAAGGAGTGGTATGTTGATATATGAAAAAGCCAAGATGGCAGCGGCAAAGGAAGCAGCATAAGGAGCTGGAGGCATAGCAAGCCACATAGAAATGGGTCACCATGCCCTCCACAGCCCACAGTTTATCTATAAAAAATTACACAGTTGATTACTGGTCTTCAGTGTGTATTGAGGCTCAACATCAAGAGGACAGAGATTCCTGAAAAAGAACGGATGCTGGTGGTGAAAGAGACAGCCTGAGGAGCTGGAGGCACAGCAATCCGCATTGAACTAGACCACCGTGGCCCTCCACAACTCGCAGTTTATATATACCTAAACAGCCAAACAGCTGACTACTGGTCTTCAATATGGATTAAGGCTCAACATCAAGAGGACAAAAATACTAAAAAAAGAAAACAAACCACAACATAGGTAAGTCCCACTTCTACCCACTACCCACTGGTGAGCCCACACCACTGTGACCCCCGTGGGGCCTCCATGGCCAGAGCCCATGCGTCCCCTAGCCTGGACTGGGCAGCGGGCACTGGGCCCCATGGCTGGTGTGACAGAGGCCCTGCACAGCCGACAGCAGTGGATGCCAGCAGCTGCAGGCTCTCGGTGCAAGAGGGGACAGGCATGGGAGGTGAAGGACTAGATACAAGAGCGCATCTTGCATTCAGTGAAGAAGATTTCCTTAGAGAAGAAAAGAAGATCCTCAACACAGTGATTGGAGCAATGGGCTCAAGCGTGTCTCAGATTGTGGGGATGGTGTACAATAGGACAAGGACTAGATTTGTTGTTCATAGAATTGTTGTGAGCCATTAAGAGAGCGCTGTGAGCATAGTTGACACAAAGTTATGCTACCAAACCAAAGTTGGGTGATTTTAACCTGCGACCCTCAGGCCTGGTTTTGATTGTTTTCGGTCAAACACTCTCCTAAATGGTTTATCACTGCTCTGTCAATTGGCTGTACAGAGGTTGCTGTGATGCTAAACACTGTGATACTGATCTGACATACGTGATAATGGTTACCCATTATGGACAGTGTTCGGTGGAGCTCCCCAATTAAAACAAGCTTGGAAGCAGGAGTGGCATCCACTTCCGAAAGAGCTTGCCTCCAGAAACTCTATGAACTTAGAGAAATGATGCAAGTTATACAAGTGTTCAGGTCTTTCATTCATAGGGTCTCTATGAGTTGTCTATGACTTGACAACACTTAATAACAGATACTGAACAGCAGATCTCCTCAGTACACTATACCTTTTGATTTCTTGACTACTGCTACCAAGAACTGTTTCAACCTAGGGCGAGTCTGTTCACCACTCTCAAAGCCCCTTCCTCCATTTGTGGAAGGGGGAGGGTAGTGATGCCTACTTTGAGTTGCACTCAGACCACATGGTGGAAGGGAGAGGGGCGACGGTGGTGGTGCTGGAACTGAGGATGCTGTCCCTGGCCATGGTGTTCAGTGGGGCACAAGGTCCAGAATTCAGGGGAGGGCAGTGGTGGAGGTGGGGGGGCCTGCAAGGAGAGCTGCCCAGCCCCCAGGGAGAGCTGCCCAACCCCTGAGGAGAGCCTGCTGGGGAGAGCTGCCTAATATATACGAGGAATTTTATCTAAGCTACTTTCCTCCACCTCCTTCCCCAGTACATGTGTAAGTAACAGCTCTTCTTTTTGTAACTCACAAGTTCGGTCTCTCTACGTTTGATTCCTTTCCTATAGATAACTTTTACACTGAGTCTTGTTCCAGACCTGAACCCTGAGCCCAATTCCAGAGACAAAAGGGAAGTGAAGGAGGATGGAGCCTCAGGGTTCAGCCAGCCATCCCCACTGGACTCACCTTGGGAAACATTTTGCAGTCCAGAGGGCAGAAAACATCAGAAAAATATCTTCTAATTGAAGAAGAATGCATGCAGCTTCAACCCAGGACCACCACTAAGGTGCTAAAGTGGTCTCCCCTTCCCCTCAACACCCTTGTTCAGCATGAAGAAACCAGAGAGTCTGCTTTCCATTCCCAAATGAGAAGCCCACAAGTGAATAAGACAATGTCTTTGTTAAAAAAAATATTATCATTGGACTATGCTCACCATTACCCTGTCATTTCTGGTCCTCAGTGAATCTTTCTCATTTCTTTTGACCACTCCGTCCACCCACCAAATTGTGCAGCCCTGTGATTTCATCCTCACTCTTCTGCTCCCAACACTTACCCCCTTATATCCCCATACATGTTTTTCACAAAAAAAAAATATATATATATATATATATTTGAAAAATTAAAATAAGGAACTTAGCCCTTAGCCCTTCCCCTTACCAGCTCTTTCTAGAAGTCTCTGTCTTCTTGTTGTTGTTGTTGTCATTAGGTGCCAGTGAGCCAGATAGGACTCATGGCAGCTCTATGAACTGTCCTATCCTGTGCCATCCATACCATCTCTGACACACTTTAGCCCATTGCTGCAGTCACTGTGTCAATCCACCTGGTTGAGGGTCCTCTTCTCCTTTGCCATCCTTCCACATTCCAAAGCATGATGTCCCTCTCCAAGGAATGCCTCTCCTACCAACATTTCCAAAGCATGTGAGACGAAGCGTTATCATCTTTGCTTCAGAAGAGCACTCTGGCTGCTCCTTCTCTAAGACGTATCTGTTTGTTTGTTCTTTTACTCCTCTTAGATCCAGCCATTAGGACATGACACGGTTGGTCTATAGCACTTATCTCCATAATCATCTAGAGACCACTCAGCTTTAAGCAAAATATCTCTTTTGACTTTCAAACGTTGTTCTTGTCTTATTATTAATTGAGTGTTTTACTTTTAGATAATCCTCTAATGAACAAGCTCAAATGAGCTGAGAGGCAGCAGTGACAACCCATCAATAAAATAATTAACTCGAAGTGGATTTTGTTAGAGAATTCTCATGTCATAATAAAAAATCTGGGCTACTTAAAATCAAGGAAATCAAATAGAACCATCTCTTTCTTATTTTAAAAGGAAAGTTAGCTTTAAAAGTATCTCTTCATACAGTGCCATCAATGCTACTGACAATACTTAATTTACCCTGGAAGGGCATGTACAAAAAGAAATACCAAGAAAGTACACAATGACTTGCAGACTTTTCTTTCTTTTCCATACTTCTCACTCAGTTATTCATAGAAGACAGGCAAGGAGACCCCTAGTACATTTTCTCTTTCAATTTTAACATTCACGTCATGGCCTGAGTCCCTAAGGCTTTTATGTCTTAGTCGAACACTCAAATGCTCTGGTCAAGGCATGGCATGCACAGATGTAGGGCAAAATCCCATCTTTTCTGTCTTCTAACCAGTGAAAGAAAAGGATTTCTGACAACAAACACTAACCAAGCAGCTCTATCTCTTTTTTGAGCCTCTCCCCTAAAACATAAATGCCAGTGGTTGGTTCCAGAGACTGTGATCCTTGTCTTTCAACCCAAACTCTATTTTGCCAATGACTCATTCCAACTTTTGCATCACCACCAACTGAGAACCTAGCACGAGTTATGAGATTAACCAGTGCAACAAGAGACATCCAGAAAAGAGTAAATGACTTTCAAGCTCTGGACAGGAAATGGGAAAGGGACGAGGAGATCATAGCTGGGAGCAATATTGGGGAATAGAGCAGAAACTCAAAAAGGAAATGGCATGGACTTGAAGTCAGTTAGGCTAATGCCCAAAGCAGAGTTATAAGGGACATCCATGAGAAGGACTATAAACTGAAAAAACTGTATGACCAAATGAAATCTTTACATACCCATGCTCCATCAGGTCCAAACAGTTCCAGGAAGTTGCCAATGAATTCCCTTGACTTTTCTTCCCATTTTTGAATAAGATCATGGCTCTTTTCTTCCACTCTGTTAACAAACTCCTTTGATCTTTCCTCCACATTTTTGACCTTTTCCTTCATCTTGTCTACCTGGTTCTGGAAACGATACTTCTTCTCCTGGTCAAAAATTAAAGGTGAAAGAAATATTTATCTAAAAGGTCATGAGATCATTCAATCATTCACACCAGTGATAATGTTTTATTTCAACTTGAATTTGTTCCTTACCTGAAAAGTAAGGGTATTGCTGGATTGAAGGGAAGCTAGCTCTTTGTAAAACTCATTTGTCCTGAGCTGTTTATTCCCTGAAGACAGGAGACAGCAAGGGGCCCCCTACAGAGGGAGTGTTACTTCCTGAGCTAGAGTTCACTCTGAGGCATCATGGTAAGGGTAAACCAAATTCTTGCATTTGTGAACCCCTCCTTCCTGAGTCAAGCAGAAGGTTTTCTATAGAAAGAACTTGGCTTCGTTTGCATTTAATTCTCTTTGTGATTTACTTCCTGGTAATTTTCAATAAAGATACAGAGAAGCTTGGCTTGGGGTCTTCAGTCGAGAACTGCTGGCCCCCTGTTTTATGCTCTCTGCTCTATCACAAAAACAAACAAACAAACAAAAAAACCTCATTTGTCCAAAAACAACTATGAGATATGATCTCAACCCAGTAAGAATAGCAAAATTTAACAGAACAGCAAGCAACAAATGCTGGCGAGACTGTGGAGAGACTGGAACCCTTATTCACTGTCGGTGGGAGTGTAAAATGGTACAACCACTGTGGAAGGCAGTATGGCGCTTTCTCAAAAAGTTGCAAATAGAGATACCATTTGACCCAGCAATTCCACTGCTGGGAATATAACCTAAAGAGACCATAACCGACATCCAAGCAGATATATGCATACCCATATTTATCACGGCTTTGTTCGCAATACCAAAGAGTTGGAAACAACCCAAGTGCCCATTAACAAACGAATGGATAGAGAAGCTGTGGTATATTCACACAATGGAATGCTACGCTACATTGACAAACAAGGAACTCATGCAATATTATTCAAAATGGGTGACCCTGAAGGACATTATGCTGAGTGAAATTTCTCAGTCACAAAAGGACAAATACTGCATGTTGCCACTGTTGTAGAATGGGACTGACATCAGGGTTGGGGTAAGACTAAGAAAAACTGGATAAATTATGTATACTGCATTGAAATAGATGTTTAAAAGCGATCTATGATAGGGTATTATGGTTATCACAGGAGTACAGAATTAAGGTTGCATAGTAAAGTGTACTTCGTGGGGGGGGTGGTATTGTATACCAATGAAGGAATTTTTCTACTTTTCAAAGAGAGGAACGAACTGGTGGGGGAGTGGTGGGCAGGGAGAAAAGTGCAACAATGTATGAATGGAAATCCAAAATATCTGTAAATGTTGTTTAAAAGTAATAAAAAGAATTTTAAAAATCATTTGTCATTAGCTTATTCAGGTATAGAAAGGGAAATAGAAGTGGTTTTAATGATTCCTTTATTTTAAACATCTATGAATTAAATTCATATGTTTAAGGGAAGAATAAAAAAAAATACAGGTTTATCCTCTAGGTAGATAATGAGAAAATATTTCCAGTCAATTCTGCTGAGGCTTAGATTTACAATGAATGGCCACTCACAGAGGTTCCCTGAGTTGTCTGTTTTATTGCTAAAACTCAAGGAGTTTGAAATAAATGGGCCATTTTCTGAGCCTCAGAACTTAGGTGTTGTAAGGCCTGCTAGGAGGTCAGCTAAGATTCAATCTCCATCAGAGAGCAACTAGTATATTAAAATTTTTATTTTAATGATACTTTCCATTAAGATCATTGAGTTGCATCTATATCCTTAGAGATGATTCATTTATCACTCATTATTTGTTGTGTGCCATCGAGTTGGAACCAACCCATAGCTGACCTTCCAGCAAGTTTCCAAGAGGCAGTAAATCTCACAGGATGAGATTGCACATCCTTCTCCCAAGCAGCAGCTGGTGGATTTGAACTGTGTGCCTCTGGGATTACAATGCATCTTTTTATCACTAAGCCACCAGAAAGATGGCTTCTCTGGACTGGGATTTGTTTTTTCTTACAGCCATTTTATCTATGTGCATGTAAGTTATTCATATGGAAAGCAAGTCAGATATCACCTCTAAATCTCAGCTTCAACCTTCATAAAATGGGGGTGTTTCTATACATAAATGCATAGGGGTGCTGTAGCAGTTAGACAATAGGTGTAAAGTGCTAGACTCCAATTCTGGCATTGTGTGTGTCAAAGTGTATCAACTATATAATTTCTATTAAACAGCAAAGGAATTTAATTGGCTTATGAGAGTTGAATCCAAACCATGAAAACAACACAAGACAAAATGTCTTCCTGTGAAATCATGATATTTTGATACTTTTTCTCATAAAGGGGTAAAAGCTTAACATTTTCCTCTACTGTGTGGGACTAAAGCTCATTTTGCATTGCATTTCATCATCTTTAAGACATCTGAAATAATGTAAAACTCAAGATTCCTTGATTTGGACCTTCTAAATCTTATGAAGGCCTCACTCAGGGTGTCGTGGGAGGTATATGTGCTACCATGTTGTTGTTGTGAGCTGTCAAGTCAATGCCACCTCATTTATCCCTAAAGGATAGAGTAATCTTTATGGAACCAGACTACCACATCTTTTTCCTCACACAACTGGTGGCATTGAACTGCTAACGTTCTGACTAGCAGGCAAACACTTAACCACTGTGCCACCAGCAATCCTTAGGACCACACACACACACACACACGCTATGGGAAGTTACCATCTTCAAAGACCTATTCGGTGACCTTGGTGAACTGTTCAACCACTCTCTGCCTCTGTCTCTTTACCTATAGGTTGGAAAAAGTCATTTATACCTACCCTCATAAGCTTACTATGAAGACTGAATAAGATCATTCCAATAAAACACTTAGATCAACATATGACAAGCTCTTGCCCAACATTCGCTACTGCCCTTATGCTTCTATTGTTTGCTTCCATAGCTGCTTTTGTACAGGAAATAACCCTGTACAGCTCTCAGAGCAGCACTGAGTGGCAGAATGAGCACGAGACTGTGGGTCAGGAGGTTAGGAGACTACTGGCATCTCCATCTCTACTTTACTTGAAGGATTGTGGCCAGATGACCTCTCAGATTCAAGCTTGCCTCATCTCTCATTCAAGGAAATGGGCCTAGGTGACTGACCCCTTCTGGTTCCTGCCACCTCGGAGGCTCCATGATTCACATCCACGCCCAGGCAACACATCGGATTGTATTTTTGAGCTGCCACCAAGCTTGCTGTCACAAAAAGGCAACCCCACACATCCACTCTAAACTACACGGTTCCTTGAGCTAAGTGACTTATCTAAAGGCCGTTTAAAGAGAGTGAGCAATCACTTTTGGAAATGGCTCGACATGCTTGGATGGTTGACTGAATTCAATTTAAAAAAACAGACAGTTTAATTTATTGAAATAACCAGGGCTTTATTCTCGGGGAGATACCAAATAATCATGCTGACTGAATTCTTTTCAGCCACTTGGTCTGGGGCCACTCAGCCCGGCATTTTCTGTTTTGTTTTCTGGCTAGTGCAAAGCAGGAGACTGCAGTCGCTATGTGCCCTCCCTGTCGAGGACAACAAATACCAAGTGTACAATGAAGGATTCCTTCCTCCTATCTCAGAAAGAGCCCTGCTGGCACAGTGACTAAAGAGCTCATCTTCTAGTGGGAAGGGTTAGCGCTGATAACTCAAAGGGCCGCGGTTCCAATCCACCAGTTGCTCCCACACAATCCACTGCTTCTGAAGACGCGTTGCAGGGTCAGCTGTGTATCAGTCCTGACTCAGGGGGACACCACATGACAACAATCACCACTCCAGGAGAGTCCGTTTCCCTAAGGACAAAATCTTATGGGGCAGTACTATTCTGTCCTACAGGGTCACTCTATACGAGTCAGAATTTATTAACTGGAAATAGCTTTTGTTTGGGGGTGGGTTTCTGGGGGGGGGGTATCCTATTTTGAAGACTCCAATAATCAATTGTGTAAGCTGCTGGATCATTAAAATTGCATCTAATTAAAGTGTCTAATTTTGTAGACATCTCCCTTTTCACATGCCGCATCAACTTTTTTTTAAGGTTGCAATTCTGTCTGGATGGAGAGAGTTCTTGTTTTAATCAAAGATGGCAGGGCCTCACTGCCCAAATACAGTTGTCCAGGCTGACTAAGATCACCTCCAGGAACTGCAGCTGCCCTCTTTGCTTTTTAACAGCTTGTTTTGCTTGTTTTAAAGACTGTTTTAACAGTTGCTCTATTATTAAACTAACAGCAGCTCTGTGGGAACAATACGGCAGAAACACAAAAGGAAGCCAAAGACTTTAGGCTTTATTTAAGCAGCTGTAATTTCTCTGGACAATTAAAAAAAAAAACACAACACTGCTGTTAAGGTTTCTAATGAGCATCTGTAAGGCCTTAATAAAATGAAATTTGGTGGGGGAGGAAAGTTAAAACAAGAAAGCATTTTCTCTGACTTGAGATTTCACTACCTCTGCCTTCCTCCTCCTTGAAGCGGAAGAGAACTCTGGCCTTGCACAAAACTCTGAGCTTCCGTAAAACCTTCACCCAAGTCTGAGAACTCTAAATAGAGAGCTTGGGGAAGGGAACGGGAGCGAGGTAGCTCCTTTATCAAATGTGAAGCTCACAGTCTGTGTTCTCTGGCTAACCAAGGTTACCCTTTTGGATACTTATTCACCTATTAAGTGGGGATAATAATCCACTAATAGGGAGCTCTAGTGGCCTAGTGGTAAGAAGCTACACCACAATCTCAAAAGCACACAGTTGGAATTCTCCAGCTGCTCTACCAGAGAAAGATGGGCAATCTCCTTCTATGCAATTTCCAACCTCTGGAAACTCGCTGGAAAGTCGGTCAGCTATAGGTCAATTCCAATCGATGGTACAGAACAACAGCAACAGCAGCAGCAGCAGCAGCAATCCACCACTGGGTTGCTACATGGGTTTTATAAATGAACAAAAAGAGCCTGTTTAAAACACTTCATGGCATACAGTAAGCACTCAGTAAAGGTTAGCGGTGGTGGTGGTGGTGGTGATGGGTTTTATAAATGAACAAAAAGAGCCTGTTTAAAACACTTCATGGCATACAGTAAGCACTCAGTAAAGGTTAGCGGTGGTGGTGGTGGTGGTGGTGTGGTATGGTGGTCTTCAGAGGCTGTGAAGTGGCTCACTTACATTTATAAAACTGACATTCAGCTCCTTGGCTGTGTACCCTCTCTGGAGATTGCGGCGAGCATAAACATCATAGTCGCGGACAATTCTGGTGATGATGTCGGAGGTTGAGATGCCTTCTGTTCTCTGCGTTGGAACAAACATTCCTGTACAAACAGGAGGAGATAAAAAGGGAGAGGGGGCAATCTATGATCACCTGGGTTGAACCATACCTTCAACAACATTCTTTTCTAGGACAAAGCAGCAGTCAAGAGCCACAGAGGCCCCAGCTCACTCCACGTCTGGCCTCGGCTCACTCCTCCAGCATCAGTTCTGCACGTCCCCTCTCTCTCCTCCAAGCACCACATGTGCATCACCCCCATCCAGATCCCAGGATTTACCACACACTCTCCCGGCTCCTGGTATGTGCCCCTGCCAGCCCTCTACTGCCCTGGCACCTCTTCCTGCCTACATCAACTGCAAGGTTCCTCTCAACCTATAAGGTCCACTCAAAAGGTTATGCCTCTGGAGAATCTTTCCTAATGTCATCAGGTGAAATCCACAATATTTAGGTAGGACATAAATTTGTCTTCCATTAACCAAAGGATGGATTTTTTTTTTTTATGTCTGTTTGCTTGCAGAAAAAGAAACATTTTGACAGCAGAGATTATACCTTAATTGCTCCTGCATCTCCTGCACCTAGCTCCACCGGTGGAGCACATGGGTGGTGTTCGCTAAATGCAAATTGACTCAGTAAGTGAATGGAGACAGAGCAACAGAGTCAATGGATTAGTCACATCATGGCAACACCTCTTCTTCCCCCCCAGGGAAGTCAGCATCACATCATACCAGGAAAAGGAGAAAAAATGAGCCTATTTTGGTTGGCTCCAATCTAAAAGCGTGCCAGTGGGGTATAAGATGATTTTATCTCCCGAATTACAGTCTACACTGCATGGTGGTTTCACCACTCAAAGATCCTTTCATTGAGAATATGTGGGGTTGAGTAAAAATAAACAAGCACAGAGAATGCCAAGTTCTAAGAGATTTTCCAACATATATTTGGGTGTTCCAGTCTAGAGCTGGAAAGAGGTCACAAAGCATTCAAGGAGGCATTAATTAGGTCTATGCTCCCACTTATGTTCATCTATCAAAACTATGTGTTGCCAATGAAGACTCCTCCACCTAATATCATTACGGGCCCTTAGACAGAGACATCCGTGGATCTTAGAGTGCCCCTTACAAATCCAGTTCTTTTTTGGCTCTGTAGACATCTGTGAGTTTTTCAGTCTTGTGGACCCCCCCTACAATATCCCTCTGGGGATTATTCTTTTTTGTGGGTTTAAAAAACATTTTCTACTAGTTTATTTACAAAATTCAAATAAATGATTTTCAAGAACAAATTCTTTCAAATTCCCTCACCCTCCCACTCATCAAATTGTACAACCCCATGATATTGTTATCCCATTTGTACATTTAGTTCATTTTACAGCAGGGTGATGCTGCTGATGGTAAAGAAATAACGCATTCCATTTCTAGAGTCATGTGACTCTGAAGAATGAGTTGGGGTTGCCACTAGCCCAAAATCATCTTTTTGGAAGGGTTAGACATGGAAAACCTAAAGGAAAATAGAACACACTATAATTAGTTTTGTGATTTGGCAAGGGAGAAAACAGCATCTAAGCACCCAAATTGATCGAGCTATGTAGAGTCTACCAGTGGATGTGGGAATAGAGGGAGGGAGAAAGAGAGGGA